AATTTTCTTCCTAGATCAGAGGACACTTCAGAATATCATTCATGCTCTGCTCACATCAGAGCTTGGTTGCTCTACACGGGACTGCCCTTGAAAACTACTTGGGAACTTCATGTGGCCCAAACTACAGTGGAACAGACAAGTGATAAGCATGCCTCAGTATACCCATCTTACACCTGAACTGCACTGATTCCCAGGTTGTTTCTGGGTGCAATTCATGGTGCTGGTCACTACCAATAAAACCCTACATGGCATAGGTCCGGGATGGCGAACCTATGGCAGGTGTGCCACAGGTGGCACATGTAGCCATATCAGTGGGCACGCCAGCTCAGCTCTGACGTGCTTGCACTCGCCGGCCAGCTGATTTTCGAGCCTTCTAGGCCCACCAGAAGTAGGGAAACAAGCTGTTTCCTGCCCCCGGAAGGCCGGGGGGGCGTGGGGGTGAGGGGAAGGCCCATTTTTCTTTCTTACCTGGCTCCAGATCCTCTCTATACATCTGGGAAGGGTGAAAACAGCCTTTCCCACTCCCTCAGAGGCCCTCCGGAGGCCTGAAAGGGCCCATTTCCCAAATCCTGGTGGGACAGGAAGTGACATTTTTTGCTGTCCCCAGCCTCCAGAGACTCCCAGAGAGGCTTTTCAAGTATCGGCATCCACTTGCAGTCAGCATCTTGTTATAATGTATCTTTTGCTAGTGTCTGGCCGGTTATGGAATGCACTTCGGGCAGTTTGCTTATTTAGCGACTTGACTTTTTGTATTTGCTGAAGTGTTTCTTATGACTGGTTTTTTTCTAAAGAAAAAGAGGGGGTTGGGGTGTATGATTGCTTCCTATACTTCCTTCTTCATAACAGCCACATATATATATGTGTGAAACAAAGCAGATCACACTATGTGATGTCAATTTTTCATTTTTTTTCAGATTAGCTCTACTTTGGGAGAACAAAATCCAATGATTTTTTTTTATGCCATTTACTCTTCAATTTGTAAGATAAAGCATTTCCTTTTTCTTATTCCAAACATCAATTTTCAGCGGAAGGCTGAACAAGATGGCGGGAGATAGATGACCTCAAGATTCTCCTCTCCCTCCTGGTAGAAGATTGAAGGGATTTTATCCTGAACAATCACCTCAGTAACCACAGATTGCAGACTGTGGCATGGATCTTAAAAGCTGAATATTGAACCAGCTCTAAGAAAGGGTGAGGAAGGCTAAGAACCTCTTGACAGGAGGAAATTTTTACCCATGATACAATACATCAGAGGTGGGTTGATACAGGTTCGCCCCAGATTGGGCGAACTGGTAGCAGCGGTGGCGGGAGGCTCTGCCCACCCATCCGGATATCTCTGCACATGCACAGAAGCTTCGGTGCATGTGCAGAAGTGTCGTGCATGTGCGCAAATGCACACATGTCCACGAGCGAACTGGTAGTGACGGGATTTGAAACCTACTACTGCAATACATCCAAGGAGGAAGATACAGCCAAACACATATTTCTGCTAAATATGATAATAAATGTGATCTATTAGTGAGTAGGAACTTCTTGCAAACTTCTCTTCTTTTTTCCCCTACATGTTTTATTTATTTTATTTATATAACATTCAATTTCCATCAAACAGTGAGCTGGGTACAGTTATTTTTAAACAATCATAATCCACATATTTGTTCTAGTATTCATCACAATAATATTAATAATTTAATAATATAATAACAATAATACTTAACATCATCTTCTTTAACAACTCCCCACATTAACATTTCCTCTTTCTATATTTCCTCCTTTCTAACTTCTGTTTCTATCGTCTAGCCATTGATGAAATACATCCCATATCAAAAAATATTCAGTTTCTTCTTTATCCTTAAGAGTGAGTGTTAATCTATCCATTTCTGCGCATTCTAATATTTTCTTAATTACATTCCGCTCTGACAGAATCTCATCATTTTTCCATTGCTGTGCAAATACAATTCTAGTTGCGGTTAGTATATGCAAAACCAGATATATAGTCTTTTTATCATATTTTTCCGGTAGCATGCCCAACAAAAATGTCTCTGGTTTCAAGTCTATATGCTGCTTTATCATTTTCTTCAACCAAGTGTGTATTTTTGTCCTTTTTTTTTTTTTTTTGCTTTTGGGCATGTCCACCACATAAGGTAGTATGAACCAGATGGTTGATTACACTTCCAACATTTAGCAGATCTATCTTTATACATTTTTGCCAGTCTTGCTGGTGCAGAATGCCATCTATAAAACATTTTATACAGATTTTCTTTATATGCAGTTGACATAGTCGATTTAATATTTCTATCCCATAGTTTCTGCCATTCCCTTCTCTTCTAAGAAGGTAAGATTAGGAGCTGCGGTGGCCTAGAGGTGGAGTTCTTACCTCCCACTCGGGAAGTTGTGAGTTCGATTCTAGGTAGAAGCCAGATGTAGGCTCTCCTGCTTGGGCAGGGGGTTGGACTAGGTGACCTGCAAGGTCCCTTCCAACTCTGTTTAAAAAAAAAAGTCAGGTCATCTCCTAATGAACTTATTAAGGAACTTATGGAGTGTGCATAAACAGAAAATGGAGATGTATGAATTATCTCAACTTCTGACTGAGTGTTTATGCCCAATCTTACTACCCTCACTGAGACCACATCCATGGGACACTCAATCATACCATTCTGTAGGAAACCTTTTCTAAAAATCTAATGAGGTTTTAGCTCAACTCTTGTTTAACTTCTATACAATAATTCCAATTTAATATAATTTTATTTTTAAATATAAAATATAAAAATTTAATTTAATTCACTAGTTGGATAATCCAGATTACATGCTTTCTAATTTGGCATGCAGAGAAGATTGAGACTGTAAATTCAAAACTGAAAATTTATTTATTTATTGATAAATAAAGAACACCAATTGCAGATAAGCTATGAAAGCGCTAAAAATTATTTATTTATTTTTTTATTTTTATTTATTTTTATATGCTGCCCTTCTCCGGAGACTCAGGGCGGCTTACAATGCGTTAAGCAATAGCCTTCATACTTTTGTATATTTATACAAAGTCAGCTTATTGCCCCCACAAACTGGGTCCTCATTTTACCCACCTTAGAAAGGATGGAAGGCTGAGTCAATCTTGAGCCTGGTGAGAATTGAACTCACAGTAATTGCAGGCAGCTGGATGTTAAATGCTGCCTTAGTAGGAGGCATTAGCCTCCTATGCCACTCAGGCGTAAAATAATAGCATTTTAGAGCCCCAAATGATTTATAAAATATCCACAAAATTCCCATTGCACAAGAGTCATGCTTCAAATACCTGTTTGTAGCATATTAGTCCTAAGGTAGAGAACAAAGCAGATATACCATAGTACCATGGCCCTGTCGAAGCCTGGGCCTCAAGGAGGAGGAGGAGATCGAGCCGGGGCTGACAGAGAGGTAGGGCACAGTCCCTATGGCTCATGAGGAACAACCTGGGGATGAGGATGAGGCAGTCCCAAGCCGCTCAGGCTTTGGAAGAATAGGCAGGGAGGAAGAGAAGGCTCAGACTGACCGAGGAGGCAGAAGAAGATGGAAAGGGCAGGCAGTGGAGCAGAGGAGTGGCGAGCTTCAAAGATGAGCAAATGCTTCCCCCACCTGATCCCCGAGTGAGGAGAATGGAGAGGAGGCAGAGTCAGCACAGGGCAAACCGACTACTCTGGAGGAGGGCGCCCTGCCCCTCCTCCCAAGGATCACCTGGAGAGCGGCATTTAAGGAGACACCATGGGGAGGGGCTTTTGTCAGGAACAAAGTTTGTATTCAGGGGTGGGCTGCTGGGGGTTCACAGGGTTTCAGGAGAAATTCTAGCTAAGTTTCTGTGCAGTTTGGAGAACCCCCAAATCCTACTCCTGGCTGGCCCCTCTCCACCCACCCCACTCCTCCCAGGAGTCCCCACATGGCCCATTTTGGATGCAGGCAAGTGCAGGGTACGTGTGGAGGCTCAGGGAAGGAAAAAAAAAAACAAGCCTACCAGAAGTTCAGGAAGGCTGGAAACGAGCTGTTTCCAGCCTCCAGAGAGCCTCCGGAGCCTGGGGAGGCCATTTTCACCCTCTCGGAGGCTCGAGAAAAGCCTCCGAAGTTTGAGATCCTGTCTTGCCCCCGAAGTGGTGCTGATCCGGTTGACTTTCACTGCCAGGAAGTTGCACAAAACATGTGTGAGTGCGTGTGTTTGAGCCTTGCTCCTGGACTGAAGGGGTAATCTGTGGGCAGAGATTTTGGAGACTGGATCAGGACTTGCTGGATTGTGGGGATTGTGAGGGATGATGGTTGAACAAAGATTGTCAAGCTCCCACCTAGCACAAGTTGCTTGCATGCCAACCCTGGGTCACAACACACATTTAATGCTCCAAGTGGCTGTCTTCAGATCCTACTTTACAAAATGGGGGACATTATCAACCAGCCAACCATTGACTATTTAAAACAAAGTTGCTCATCCAGATGATGTTTAGAGACCAGCTTGGACACTATACAAGATCTCACTTATTTATTTATTTATTTATTTATTTATTTATTTATTTATTTATTTATTTATTTATTTTATCATATTTGTATACCGCCCTACTCCTGGAGGACTCAGGGCAGTGAACAGCCAAGATAAAAATACAAATAACATACAAAGGTTAAAAGCTATTAAAAATAGGTTAAATAATTTGGGCTCAAAAAACAAATTTAAAAACATCCAATTTATGTAAAACATTTAAAACCCAATTTAAAAGGGAGAGTTAGGCCAGACCAGCCTGTTGGAATAAAAACGTTTTTAGGATGCGGCGGAAGGTGCGTAAATCTTGGATCCTCCGTATCTCCGGGGGGAGCTCGTTCCAGATGGCAGGTGCCCCCACAGAGAAGGGTCTCCCCCTGGGGGCCGCCAGTCGACATTGTTTGGCCGACGGCACCCTGAGGAGCCCCTCTCTATGGGAGCGAACTGGTTGGTGAGAGGCTACTGGTGGCAGAAGGCGATATTTCAATATGCTGAGAGTTACAATTCCTCTCTCTCATGTTTTTACATTTCTTCTGGTCATAAGCTGCTCCTTTGTATTCAGGTCCGGCCTCAGAATGATAATGTAGCACTTGGGGATGAAGATGCAGCCCAGCAGACCAGCACTAGAGACCAAGATAGAAAAGATCTGCACAGCCACCATGTATTTCCCTTTGGTGCTTAAGTAACTGGGCACAAAAGTTATCCATACGCTGCAGAAGACTAGCATGCTGAATGTGATCAACTTTGCTTCGTTGAAAGTCCCAGGCAGATTCCTCCCCAGGAAAGCCACCGTGAAGCAGATGGCAGCCAGGAAGCCCAGGTAGCTGAGTGTGGTATAGAACATGACAACAGAACCTTCATTGCATTGCAGGATGATTTCTCCAGGCTGGGAGTGGAAGTCAGAGTCAGGGAATGGTGGACAAACTCCAAGCCAGATGCAGCAGATGATAATTTGGACAGCAGAACAAGAAAGGATGATGGAGTTGGCCAAGCTCTTCCCCAACCATCTCTTCATTCGGTTTCCTGGTTTTGTGGCCAGGAAAGCTAGCACCACTGTGATTGTTTTGGCCAAGAGAGAAGAAATAGCAATGGAGAATATGATGCTGAACACTGCTTGTCGGAGAAGGCAGGTGGCTTTCCTTGGTTGACCAATGAAAAGAAAAGGAGACAAGAAGCAAAGGAAGAGGGAGATCAGGAGAATGAAGGAGAGGTCCCGGTTGTTGGCTTTGACAATGGGAGTTTCTAGGTATTGAAGGAATATGATTAAAATAAATCCTGTAGTTAGGAACAAGAGTAGGGCAGAGGAGACCAGAATGATGGCCAGATGTTCTTCATAAGAGAGGAAGGAAATAACTTTGGGGATGCATTGGACTCTCTTCTCATTTGGGTATTTATCATCTGGACACTTGGTGCATTTTTCTGTATCTAAGAAAACCAAAAACAATATTTGATATTCTACTTTTTACCTTTCAAGACATACATAATACTAGGAACATTTTCCAAGATGTGTTTCTTAACTTCTCCACAGAAAGAAGATTTAAAATGTATGATTTTATTTTTTTTCAAAAAAAAAAATAGCAATATTTGGCATGCAGCGAAGAGGGGGTTGAGGTGTTTTTTAGCTAAATTTTTAAGGAAAATTTTAAGGGGACCCGGGAGGGAGGGAGGGGGTTGTAAAAGCGGACCTCGGGAGGTCCAGATAGCGACTGAGCGGGATGATGGGTCGATTAGTTTTGGCAGGGGGGTCGTGAAAGGAAATTTAACCAGGGAGCAGGGGGACGACAGGAAGGGCTGTGTAATTGAAATAATGAGTGGGAGGGGCAGGTATGATGGGCGCAGGGGGTCATATCAAGTGTCGGGGGTGCGCATGCGCTGTCTCCGAGCGATTGCGCACTCCGGCCCCCAATGCGTGACTTGTGTCCTGGGCTGTGTAGAGTCTCAGGCCCAGGGTCCGCGGCTGATGTTGTGTAATGCCAGGTCGGTAGTTAATAAAGCCCCCCTCATTTGTGATCTTATTTTGGAGGGGGGTGCGGACCTGGCAGGTATTATGGAGACCTGGTTGGGCCAAGAAGGGGGGGTCCCCCTCGTCGAGATGTGCCCGCCAGGTTTCCGTGCATTTCATCAGCCAAGGGCCCAGGGAAGGGGTGGGGGAATGGCGATGATTATTAGGGAAAGTCTTTGTCCGAGGGAGACCATTGTTCCTCAGATAGCCGGATGTGAGTCCCTTTGTGTGAAGTGGGGCCGTGGGGTGCAGATGGGTTTGCTGATTAAGTACCTGGCTCCCTGCCATGTGGCAGCGACCCTGCCCAAGCTACTCGACGTCATTGCCGGGGTGGCAGTTGATACCCCCAGACTTATTGTCATGGGGGATTTCAACCTTCCATCCATGGGTGAGGCGTCAGAGGTGGCTCGGGAATTCATGGCTTCCATGACGGCCATGGACCTGACCCAGTTAGTTCAAGGCCCCACTCACATAAGGGGACACACTCTGGACTTGATTTTTGTCTCTGGTCAGTGGTTGAATGATCTTGGTAGAGGGGACCTAGATATTAAACTCTTGTCATGGACAGATCATTCGCTCCTCCAATTAGACTTTCCTATCGCCTTCCCCTGCCGCAGGGAGACGGAACCGACCAGATGGTTCCGTCCCAGGCGCCTGATGGATCCCGAAAGGTTCCTGACGGAGCTTGGGCCGTTTCCTGAGACTCTAACACACGACTCGACTGAAGAGCTGGTGGCCGCCTGAGAAAGGGCGGCCGCTGGAGCTTTGGACCACGTCGTGCCTTTGCGGCCTCTGACCCGATGCCAATCTCAATTGGCTCCTTGGTTCTCTGAGGAGCTGAGAGAGATGAAGCGTCAGAAAAGACGCCTAGAGAGCATTTGGAGGATTAGTCAATCCGATTCCGACCGGACACAGGTGAGGTCGTATATCAAGATCTACCTAGTGGTGATAAAAGTGGCAAAATCTAACTATTTTTCCGCTCTTATCGCATCTGCAGAGAACCGCCCAGCCGCCCTGTTTAGGGTGACCCACTCCCTTCTTTGGGGGGGGGGAGTGCAGGAAGATCCCTTGCAGGGTCATGCTGAGGATTTTGTGCAATTCCTGTACGATAAAGTCGCTCGGATTCGGGATGGCTTGGACTCCAATTGGATGAGTCCATGGGAGGAGACGACGGCAGGTCTTGAGAATGTTATCTGGGAGGAATTTGATCCTGTGACTCCCGAGGATATGGACAGGGTTCTGGGTAAGATTCGTGCCGCCACGTGTTTATTGGACCCGTGTCCCTCCTGGTTGGTACTGGCCTCCCGGGAGGTTACACGAGGCTGGCTCCAGGGGATTATAGGTGCTTCTTTGAGTGAGGGTGCCTTTCCTGCCACCTTGAAAGAGGTGGTAGCGAGGCCCCTCTTCAAGAAGCCTTCCCTAGACCCGGCTGAATTAGCCAACTATCGTCCAGTCTCCAACCTTCGTTTTGTGGCGAAGGTTGTTGAGAGTGTGGTGGCACGACAGCTTCCCCGGCACCTGGATGAAGCTATCTATCTGGACCCGTACCAGTTGGGCTTCAGGCAGGGGTACAGCACAGAAACGGCATTGGTCGCGTTGGTGGATGATCTCTGGAGGGCTCGGGACAGGGGTTGTTCCTCTGTCCTAGTCCTATTAGATCTCTCAGCAGCTTTTGATACCATCGACCATGGTATCATGCTGCAGCGGTTGAGGGGATTAGGAATAGGGGGCACCGTTCTGCGGTGGTTCTCCTCCTTCCTCTCCGACCGCTCGCAGTTTGTGTTGGCAGGGGGACAGAGGCCGACCGCCAGGCATCTCACATGGGGAGTGCTGCAAGGGTCGGTCCTCTCACCCCTCCTGTTCAACATTTATGTGAAGCCGCTGGGTGAGATCATCCGTGGTTTTGGGGTGAAGTGCCATCTGTATGCTGATGATACTCAGCTGTACATCTCCACCCCAGACCACCCCAACGATGCCCTTGATGTGATGTCTCACTGCCTGGAGGCCGTGCGGGTCTGGATGGGGAGGAACAGGCTCAGACTCAACCCCTCCAAGACCGAGTGGCTGTGGCTTCCGGCACCCCGATATAGTCAGCAGGTGCCATCGCTGACTATTGGGGGTGAATCTTTGCCCCCCACAGAGAGGGCTCGCAATCTGGGTGTCCTCCTGGACACACGGCTGTCTTTAGAAGAGCATATGACGGCCGTGACCAGGGGGGCCTTTTATCAGGTTCGCCTGATTCGCCAGTTGCAGCCCTTTCTGGACCGGGACGCCCTGCGCACGGTCACTCAAGCCCTTGTTACCTCCCGGTTGGACTATTGTAATGCTCTCTACATGGGGCTCCCCTCGAAGAGCACTCGGAGGCTCCAACTGGTCCAGAATGCGGCCGCATGGGTGGTTATGGGCGCAACTTGTTGTGCCCACATGACACCCCTCCTGTGCGAACTGCACTGGCTCCCAGTGGTCTTCCGGGTGCGATTCAAGGTGTTGGTTACCACCTTTAAAGCGCTCCATGGCATAGGGCCCGGGTACCTTCGAGACCGTCTTCTGCCACCAATAGCCTCCCACCGACCAGTCCGCCCCACAGAGAGGGTCTCCTCAGGGTGCCATCAGCCAAGTTATGTCGGCTGGCGACACCCAGGGGGAGGGCCTTCTCTGTGGGAGCCCCAGCCCTGTGGAATGAACTGCCCCCGGAAATACGTAAGATCTCCGACCTCCGGGTGTTTCGCTGCGCACTGAAGACCCTGTTGTTCCGCCAGGTCAGGCTATCAACGTAATGATTTTAAATTGGGATATTTTAAATTTCTGGGATTTTAATTTGAGCCTAATCTATTTAATTATTTTAATTTTTAATCGTTGTTCTGTTTTGTGTTTTTAAATAGGCTGTACACCGCCCTGAGTCCTTCGGGAGAAGGGCAGTATAGAAATAAAATTATTATTATTATTATTATTATTATTATTATTATTATTATTATTATTATTATTATTATTATTATTATTATTATTATATTTCTAATGCTCTATCAACCTGGGGGAAGCCCATGACCTGAATGATTTCCTTTCCAAGTTCAGAACCTTCAAAATATTCTAAATATGTTTCTCGCAAACACCCTGGGTCCTTCCAGATGACAATTCTTAATGGAAAGGATTCAAAAGATGTCTATTTGAACGAGGAAATGAATTATGGAAATAATCTGGAAAGGGCATGGAAGCAGTGGTAATATGGGTATAATGAATGGAATAGGATAGAATAACAGAGTTGGAAGGGACCTTGGAGGTCTTCTAGTCCAACCCCCTGCCCAGGCAGGAAACCCTACACCACTTCAGACAAATGGTTATAAAACATCTTCTTAAAAATTTCCAGTGTTGGGGCATTCACAACTTCTGCAGCTAAGTTGTTCCCCTTATTTACAAGACCGCCTTCTGCCACTGACAGCTTCCCACCGACCAGTTTGCTCCCACAGAGAGGGACTCCTCAGGGTGCCGTCGGCCAAATTATGTCGGCTGGTGACACCTAGGGGGAGAGCCTTCTCTGTGGGAGCCCCTGTCCTTTGGAATGAACTGCCCCCGGACATACACAAGATCTCTGATCTCCGAGTTTTCCGTTGTGCTCTTAAGACCCTGCCCTTCCGACAGGCAGGGCTAGCTTCATAATTGAGTTTTAAATTCAGAGTTCTTAAATTTTTTGGGTTTTTTAGCTAATTTTGGCTTTAAATGTAATACTTTTAAAAAAAAATTAAATTTAAATTGTGATAATTTGTATTGTGTTTTACCTGGCTGTACACCGCCCCGAGTCCCTCAGGAGAGGGGCAGTATAGAAATAAAATCCTTATCCTTATCCTTATTAATTGTTCTAACTGTCAGGAAATTTCTCCTTAGTTCTAAATTGCTTCTCTCCTTGATTAGTTTCCACCCATTGCTTCTTGTCCTGCCCTCAGGTGCTTTGGAGAATAGCTTGACTCCCTCTTCTTTGTGGCAGCCCCTGAGATATTGGAACACTGCTATCATGTCTCCCCTAGTCCTTCTCTTCATTAAACTAGACATGCCCAGTTCCTGCAACTGTTCTTCATATGTTTTAGCTTCCAGTCCCCTAATTATCTTTGTTGCTCCTCTCTGCACTCTTTCTAGAGTCTCCACATCTTATTTACATGGTGGCGACCAAAAACTGAATGCAATCTTCCAAGTGTGGTCTTACCAAGGCATTATAAAGTGGTATTAACACTTCACGTGATCTTAATTCTATCCCTCTGTTTATGCAGCCCAGAACTGTGTTGGCTTTTTTGGCAGCTGCTGCACAGCTGCCATGACATGCAGCCAGGGGTGGTATTCACTTACCTTCGCTACCGGTTTGCAAAAGTGAGTGTGCGCATGCAGAGCATCAAAAACGGGACGTGATGATGTCTGGGTGGGTGGGCAGAGCCTCCTGCAGCTGCCACTACCAGTTCGCACGAACCAGATACAACCGGCTGAATGCCACCACTGGATGCAGCCATAACTGACAATACCACTTCAATGTGAATACCCTCTTAGTGACTCTGAAGGGGAGACACATGTAGATCGCATTGCAATAATCCTACCAATAAATGGACCTAAGACAATTCTCTAAGTTTCAAAGAACTCAGATTTGCCTAGAAAGATAAATGTGAAAGGACAAACCCAGTGGTGGGTTGCCCCTGGTTCGCACCAGTTCTATAGAACCAGTAGTAACACTGGCGGGAGGCTCCACCCACCGACCCTGACATCATTAAAATGCTTCTGCGCTTGCGCAGAAGAGTGCGTGCACAAGCGAAGCAAGCGCGCACATGCACGGCCCCATTGCGAACCTGTAGTAAAGGTAAGTAGAACCCAGCCCTGGACAAACCTAATCTAAAAAGCCGAAGAAATATTTTCTGTGGCGGTAGTAAATTTTGCCCAATACTTTACTCATTTCTAACTTTATCTAGCCTTTTTCAAGTTCTTTTTCTTCTTTTTCCCTTTAGATAAAAACTTGTGTGGTTTGAATAGAAGCTAGAAAAGAGGTGCACTTCAAAGAGCCCTTTAACATTGATTTTCTTAAAAATTGTCTGGATAAATTCATTTGTATAGGACCTGCCTTCTTCTTTGGTGTCACCCACCTTCCTGAGTGGAGATGGTCCCCTCCGGACAAGGAATGCAATCATAGCAGCAAACTGGCTCTCCTTCTTGAGCTTGCTTAGCAAAACCAGGATGACAATTTTCCACGCATTTGGACTGAGGCAGAGACTAAGAAGAAAAACAAGGAATGCCATATAAAACATGCTAGGATTCACCATCCGTGGAAAATAGAGGCCAACATGAACATTTGCCACGTAGTCGCTCAGCTTCACCTAGGTAAATATGAAATCACTGACTAGTTCTAAATGATTCCAGGAGATACAAGTACTGGCAGATTCTTCATTTGGTTCTTCCTTTTTGATTCTGGCATATCACATTGTAAGAAATGACTTTTCTACCTAATAAAGTCTGGAAGTATGGAATTGAGAAAAGATTTAAACAATACGTAACAACCAATGAGTATTAACATATTCATCAATGACTTGGACGAGGGGATAGATGAGGAACTCATCAAATTTGCAGATGACACTGAGTTGGCAGGAATAGCCAACACTCCAGAAGATAGGCTCAAGATACAGAAGGATCTTGACAGACTTGAACATTGGGCGCTATCTGACAAAATGAAATTCAACAGTGAAAAAAGCAAGGTTCTACATTTAGGGAAGAAAAACAAAATGCACAGGTACCGTATATGTGGTACCTTGCTCAATAGTAGTAACTGTGAGAGGGATCTTGGAGTCCTAGTGGACAACCATTTAGATATGAGCCAGCAGTATGCAGCAGCTGCCTAAAAAGCCAACACAGTTCTGGGCTGCATAAACGAAGGGATAGAATCAAGATCACGTGAAGTGTTAATACCACTTTATAATGCCTTGGTAAGGCCACACTTGGAATATTGCATTCAGTTTTGGTCGCCATGATGTAAAAAAGATGTGGAGACTCTAGAAAGAGTGCAGAGAAGAGCAACAAAGATGATTAGGGGACTGGAGGCTAAAACATTGGAAGAACGGTTGCAGGAACTGGGTATGTCTAGTTTAATAAAAAGAAGGACTAGGGGAGACATGATAGCAGTGTTCCAATATCTCAGGGGTTGCCACAAAGAAGAGGGAGTCAAACTATTCTTCAAAGCACCTGAGGGTAGAACAAGAAGCAATGGGTGGAAACTAATCAAGGAGAGAAGCAACTTAGAACTAAGGAGAAATTTCCTGACAGTCAGAACAATTAATAAGTGGAACAACTTGCCTCCAGAAGTTGTAAATGCTCCAACACTGGAAATTTTTAAGAAGATGTTGAATAACCATTTGTCTGAAGTGGTATAGGGTTTCCTGCCTGGGAATGGGGTTGGACTAGAAGACCTCCAAGGTCCCTTCCAACTCTATTATTCTATTTCTATTTCTATATATTCTCCCACTTCCTATATCCATGATTTTAAAGTATTATGGACTACTCATATTTAATTTTGGAAAATATATATTGTAAAGATTTATTCCACTTTTATTCTCTTGGATTTATTAAAGTAAAATGAAACTCTGATGAAAAAAGAGACCTCTGATCAGTGGAATCTGGAAAAGTATAACTGGGAGAGGGATTTAACCTACTTTTAAAGGGAAATCCTTTTGAAAACAGTCCAAATCCCTCTCTCAGTTAAGATACAAACATTTTGTTAATACATTAGTCAACTTTAAAGCAAATGTTCCCTGTTTATTTGTATATTGATATGGTACTGCTAACTAGAGCATACAAAACATTTGCAAGACCAATTCTCAAATACAGCTCATCTGTCTGGAACCCACACTGCATATTGGACATTAATACAATTGAGAGAGTCCAGAGATATTTCACGAGAAGAGTCCTCCATTCCTCTGCTCGTAACAGAATACCTTATGCTACCAGGCTTGAAATTTTGGCCTTAGAACTTAGAACTACACCGCCTTCAGTCTGATCTAAGCGTAGTTTATAAAATTATCTGCTACAATGCCCTACCTGTCAATGACTACTTCAGCTTCAACCACAACAATACACAAGCACACAATAGACACAAACTTAAGGTAAACCATTCCAACCTCGATTGCAGAAAATATGACTTCAGTAACAGAGTGGTCAATGTCTGGAATGCACTACCTGACTCTGTGGTTTCTTCCCCAAACCCCCAAAACTTTAACCTTAGTCTTTCTACTGTTGACCTCTCCCCATTCCTAAGAGGTCAGTAAGAGGCATGCATAAGGGCACTAGTGTGCCTACCGTCCCTGTCCTAATGTCCCCTTTTATTCATAACACTCATGTATTCACAATCATCTTTATAATGTTATCTGTAATCTTATATATGCTTGACAAAAGAAAGAAATAAAAAATAAATAAAATAGATGCTAAAAGCCCATTGCTCTATCCCAGTAGGGCAGGAGTGTCAAACAGGTGGGCCAGATGTGTCATGAGTAGGCCACACCACCTCAGCTCCACAAAGGCAAAAAACATCACATGTTTGCAAAGTGACGTGGCGAGTTTGACACCCATGCAGTAAGCTGAGAGACATGAATAACTCTGGATAGATCTTGCTTAAAAACATTACAGACGATGAATCTGCCCTTTCAGGAGACACCGTCCCAACCAGGGCCAATTGAATCCTAACTTCAAAGTTTAATTCCCACATGGACCAAAAGGATCTCCATCCAATCTTGATCAATTTGATCCAATCCCCTCCAAACCTGAACTTGGACACTGGTTAACAAATTTCCATCTTCTTTCCTGTTTGAAGACAATGAAGGAGTGAACCTGACACTATCAGCACCACAATCCCCAGCACTTGAGGTCCTATCTTACCATTTTCAACCTGACTTCCCCATTTCAACACTAAGCCACGGTGCCTAGGCTTAGCCCAATTGAAATGGGTCATAAGGCTTTGGAAAATAGAGAAAGGACACCAATATTTCTCCCACCTTGTTTAGCAACTTTAGCTGTGAAATAGCATCTTGGTTGATAATAAGTCTCTCTCTTTCAAAACACCCCAGTTGAACTTTGATGGGATTCTTCTTGCGGATGGGCACATGGCTCTCAATATTCAGACATGCTGCTAAATCTCCATTGTGGTCCCAGTACAGTTTGAATGTGGAAATATTGCAAAACTCATTCTTCTCCAGAAAAGGATGGAACTAGAATGGGAATGTTCAGGAATCTTAAAAGTAATAAACAATATATCCCACGTTGTCTGTTCTCATTTGAATCTTTATTTTATAGTAGTCTAACATGCCAATAGTTTTAGCTGAGGAATAAATTTTACCACTATCTTCAAAAGGGGTGGGGAGGTTCAGGAAAAACCAAATGAAATTTAAAAGACAGATAAGTGCAAACTTATCTGTTTAGAAGAAATAAAATAAGAAGCAAGGAAAGAAGGCTGAGGATACTTAATTTGATAAGAATATTTGAGAACATGATATCTAACTAGTACCTGATTGTAAATCAAACATGAGTCAGCAATGAGATATTCATGGAAAGAAGGGAAATGTCATCCCTGAGAATATCAGGAAGTGAATCTTCTAGTTTGGGGAGACCCCAACTCAAATGCCAGGTCCCTTGGCAGAGACCAGTTTCAGCAAAACTGGATAAGTTTTAGGGGTCAGTAATGAAGCAATTAGTAATGAAGTAATAAAGGGATGTGGTGGCTCAGTGGCTAAGATGCTGAGCTTGTTGATAGAAAGGTTGGCAGTTCAGCGGTTCAAATCCCTGGTGCTGCCTAATGGGGTGAGCTCCTGTAACTTGTCTTAACTTCTGCCAACCTAGCAGTTCGAAAGCACGTAAAAATGCAAGTAGAAAAATAGGGACCACCTTTGGTGGGAAGGTCACAGCGTTCCATGCGCCTTTGGTGTTTAGTCATGCCGGCCACATGACCATGGAGACGTCTTCGGACAGCCCTGGCTCTTTGGCATTGAAACAGAGATGAGCACCGCCCCCTAGAGTCAGGAACAACTAGCACATATGTGCGAGGGGAACCTTTACCTTTACCTTTAATGAAGCCAAGGAAGAGATTAAAGGAGTTGCTCTTAGCCTTGAGGAAAAACAACAACAAAAAGGCAATGTTGCTCTATGGAAACATAAAATAATGAGTCTGGGGACACCTTTTCCAACTAACACAATCTCTTTGTTGGAGAAGGGAGGATTTCACTCTTCTACCTTGTTTCCCTGAAAATAAGACATCCCCTGATAATAAGCCCAATTGGGCTTTTGAGCGCATGCCTTAAAATAAACCTCCCCGAAAATAAGCCCTCCCTGAAAATATTTAAATGCATGCACAGCCGGCCCCCGCCATTTACTCTGGTTTCTTCCACGCACCCCCAAAATAATAAAACCTCCCCAAAAATAAGGCCAAGTGCTTACTTTGGGGTTCAAAAAATATAAGACAGGGTCTTATTTTCAGGGAAACACAGTAATAACTGAAAGATGTTACACAGAAACTTAAGATTGGTTCACTGTTATTCCAGAATGTCATAAACAGAAAAATGAATTTAGTTATAAGAGAGGAGATTCGGGCCAAATGAAAGGAAAATCATCCTAAAAAGAGGAGCTGAACAAACAAAGTGGAGAAGTTCGGGTCTCCTCTTCACAAATTGTCTTACTGCAAAGCCTGAGCAGCCATCAGTCAGAGAAGCTTTAACTGGGATTCCTGAAGAGAGGAAGGGTTGGGCTAGATGGTCTCAAGTATCCTTTATAAATTTAAAGGGAAAACTCTACAGTGCTAATCACAAGCCTATACATACAGGAATTGATTTTTAAAATGCAAATATCCTTCTTAAAATTAGCAGTGTTTAATATCAAACTATATTTCCCATATAGGGTCGTGGTGGCTCAGTGGCTAAGATGCTGAGCTTGTAGATTGAAAGGTTGGCAGTTCAGGGGTTTGAATCCCTAGTGCCACGTAACGAGGTGAGCTCCCGTTACTTGTCCCAGCTTCTGCCAACCTAGCAGTTCGAAAGCAGGTAAAAAATGCAAGTAGAAAAATAGGGACCACCTTTGGTGGGAAGGTAACAGCATTCTGTGCGCCTTTGGCATTGAGTCATGCCGGCCACATGACCACGGAGACGTCTTCGGACAGCGCTGGCTCTTCGGCTTTGAAACGGAGATGAGCACCGCCCCCTAGAGTCGGGAACAACTAGCACATATGTGTGAAGGGAACCTTTACCTTTACCTTATATTTCCCATAGTGACCAATCTTGTGAAAATTATTGCCTGTCATTCGATTGGTCAAACCTGTTGACCTCTTGTAGCACAAGTAGGTTCATATAGTTTCCTTCCTTTTTCTTTGGATTCCTTTTCCAAAGAGATTAAGATTGATACTTGATGGGACCCCATACCTGCCACGGCTGCAGCCTCGGTGCCTCCAGCCTCTCTTCACCCTTCTTCCTTCTCCTCCTGGAGCTGAAGGAATATGCAGCATTCAAGGCATGCACCAAAGTCTTAATGACGCTGTAAAAATGGTAGATATTTGTGATCTGGATCCTATTCCCTTTTCCTTGGGTCCCTAGTGATGCTTTCTGTGTGCATCTTCTCCGGCCTTTGACAGAAAAGATGTGCTTTGAAAAAGAACAGTGAAAAGAATTATCTGCAGATGGTGATTCCACAAAGAAATTAGATTCAAAGGCATCATTTATTGGCATTTGTTTGGTCTGAAAACTAAAGGTCCAGATACTATGTACATATTTATGAAGTTTTATTTTTCGGAAAAATATTATTGTCGTGATCCATACTTTCCCTTCAATGGGTCCTGGCAAACGCATAAGCATTAAGTGGAAAGGAAGAATTCGGTCCATAAGGGAATTATATTCCATGAAGTGAACAAAGACGTTGACTTGTCTCCACTTAGAGATGATGGCCCTGAGGGGTGCTATATTTTCAGCCCTTGAAAATCGTTCTGATATAACAACACAAATTCTATTCCTGACAAGCATAGGAGTAAAAGTCCTCATGAAATTCTCTCCATTTTCCGTGTCTGAAGCAAAGAGACCAATCAAGGTCCATCTGAAATGGAGGAGCAGCTGGACAATTGCTGGGTAGAGGAACCCTTTTTTGGGAAAAAGCCGGTGGTAAAATTGCAACTGACTTTTATCGTGAAGCGAATCTGAAAATAATTCAAAACAGATCTGGAAACGCAATAAAGAACAATATGTTATATTTGGGGGTCAGATCAAGGTCAGAATATTAGCTTTTTAAAAATCCAATATGGTTCTCATAAACATATTTGAATAGCATATTGTTGATTAGTCATTAAACCACATCAAGATGCAAAATAAAAAGAATATAACATGAGGACCCAGTTTGTGGGGGCAATAAGCTGACTTTGTATAAATATACAAAAGTATGAAGGCTATTGCTTAACGCATTGTAAGCCTCCCTGAGTTTCCGGAGAAGGACGGCATATAAATCAATTTTTTTAAAAAAAATTAACAAGACTATATATAAAAACAATATAAACGAAACTATATTAAGTTAGAAAGAATAAAAATAAAGAATGCAAATCATATTTTTGTATCACCTCTACAATTGACTACAATCAGACTTGCTTATGTATATCTGAATTTAAATGCTTTGTTCTAATAAAGAATTTTGAATTTTGAACAAACAGGAAATATGTAGTTTTACTATAAGGATCCCAATAAGTCAGGGGTGTCAAACTCAAGGGCCAGGGGCCAGATCTGACCCACGGAGTGCTTAGATCTGGCCCACAAGGCCAATCTGGAAACACTGAAGGACTGGTTTGTGGTGCCTCTGCCAATGAAAACGTAGCTCAGGAGTGCCACCCGTGGCCCTTTTGAACTCCATTTTTGCTGGCAGAGGGTTGCAGGAGGCCATCGCAACTGAAAATGGAGCTTGGGAGCCCATTTTCACTGGCAGAACACTTGGGCCACCACAGGCGCCCCTGTTGCGAATGACATCGCGCTGGATATGCCCACCATGGCCACGCCCCTCCCCTGATCCCTGATGCGGCTCTCAATGAAATCAAGTTTGACACCCCTGCAATAGGTTGTTCATCTAAACTGCAATCCAATATTAAATTTTTATCTTTTATCTCTGGATTGCCACAAATACACATCTATTCATTATAAAGGAGTAGGTTAAATCTTCTAGATTTAACCATTGTGTCCATTGCTGCAATCTTGCTTGAGTAAATATGACCCTAAGATGTTTCGGCATTTCTGTACCGAAATACCTGCCAGTTTGGGAGTATGTTTGTAGCACCTCATCCATTTAAATGTGTGGACCTTACTGAGGATGGCTGTGTCTTTCTCAGTCTTTATACATAAATTCTTTGTGTAGAAATCTTTTTAGCTTGTTTTTCATTTGTGCAAGAGATATGGAGGCTACAGCTCCTAATATAATTTGTCAGTGGTACAATCCAGGAGGTATTTGATTTATTTATTTTTTTCTGTTCTATAATACAGAACTCAGGGAGAATTTAATTTAATTTAATTTAATTTAATTTAATTTAATTTAATTTAATTAATTTAATTTAATTTAATTTAATTTAATTTAATTTAATTTAATTTAATTTAATTTAATTTAATTTAATTTAATTTAATTTAATTTAATTTATTTAATTTTAATTTAATTTAATTTAATTTAATTTAATTTAATTTAATTTAATTTTTTATACACTAATAGTTGTATGCCCTGATTTTATATAAAAACAAATTTGTTCTAATATTCTTATTAGAGGGGAGAATGGTAATACTATACTGGCAGCATATAGAAAACTGTTATTAAGTATGTGTATATATATGTGTATATAAGAGGCAGAAATAGCTATCTGAGTCCCCCAGAGAGCAACACAGAGTTGCAGTTTGTCAGCAGAAAAAAGGCCCAGAAACTTGTGAATGAGATTTCACAGAACCTAGGGCTGTAGAACAACTAAGTTCACATAGGTAAAACCTGGCTAGAAAGAATATGCACATAAAAGCCTACGAAAAAGGAAAAAAGATACATTATACCTTTACAGGAAGGATATTTGAGAAGGGGTGTGGCTCACTGAAGATGCCTTAAGAGGCAGAAATAGCTATCTGAGTCTCCCAGAGAGCAACACAGAGTTGCAGTTTGTCAGCAGAAAAAAGGCCCAGAAACTTGTGAATGAGATTTCACAGAACCTAGGGCTGTAGAACAACTAAGTTTACGTAGGTAAAACCTGGCTAGAAAGAATATGTATATATAAGAAATATATATATATATTTCTCCTTAGGCATATATACATCAGGATCCTTCATTAGTCCTGGGAAGTCATTAATGTCTAGACTGCATAAAATGTTTCAAGTAGGCACTCTTACCCCTTTTAAAGTATTGATCCTTTCATCGCATGGCTCCACTGACCTCAAGCCTCCCTCTCATACAAGAGGGTGCTGGTAGAAATAGCTTTGATCAGGGCCAAAAGTTTGAGTTCCATTTTAAGGGCAATCAATTTCCTTGATGTTTCTTTGTTTCCTGTGTCAGATGGTAAACTAAGATCCACATAGGCAGAAAGCCAATTTTTACTATGACCAGTGGTGAGTTCCTCCCGGCTCGGTCCGGTTCGGCGAAGCCGGTAGCGGTGACGATATGACATCACCGAACTAGTTCTCCCCCCGCCCTACCCCACCCACCCACCCACCCACCTTATTCTTACCTTTTATTTGGTCCCACCCCCAATCTATTGCTGCCTCCTGAATCCCAGCTGATGACTAGAGGGAAAAAAACTGTTTAAATTCTTGCCGCGGGGCTTCAAAGGGCCGTCCTACAGCTGATCAGTGTTAAAAGCAAACAAATAAGTCAGGTCATAAGTGCGAGGACCTTCCAGAAATGACTCTGACCAGCTAGCCATGCCCACCTAGTCACATGACCTCCAAGCCACACCCACAAAATAAGCCACGCCCACAGAACCAGTAGTAAAAAAAATTAGAACCCACCCCTTACTATGACTGATATATTTTGTAAATAGATGGTCCAAGACAAAGCTATTGTCAACAGTAGATAGATTCTACTCTTCTGCAGGGATTCACTGGTTCTCTATCACCCTCAACTCTGCTCAGGAGAAATCTAGCCTATAATATGTATGAATGGGCCTGTAATTCCTAGGGTACTTTTTATTCTCTTTTTATATATAGGAACTATTGCCTTCTTCAACCCAACTGGATACGGTAGGAATTAGTTATATGTGTAAATGAACCTGCCAATAGAAGACCCCACCCCATAGTTCAGATGGCAATCATGGATTTTATTGATATTTAAACTTTTTATAATGAATTTTATCACAAACTGTTTAGGGTTAAAAAAGAAAGAAAGAAACAGTTCACGAGTTGGCTAATATGCTTGTAACTTTTTTTAAATAAAGTGGTTAATTAATGCTGTGGTCCCTACGAGTTCATAAGGCATATATGTTTTATCAGCTGTAAGTAAGATAATCCATTTGGATGCATTTAACAAATGTGGAATCTGTTTTGGTTGAGATTATGTACAAAATATCAGCTTCCCATCACTGTTGCCCCATCCTTTTGTACAAATAGCTGTTTGATTGGACATAGAGCCTCTCCTCACCTTCACAAGTGTGCAGCAGAAACCCCCAAAGCATTGGGGATGGTGTCATGATATGACCATTTTAGAATAGATTAGATTAGATTAGATTAGATTAGATTAGATTAGAATAGAATAGAATAGAATAGAATAGAATAGAATAGAATAGAATAGAATAGAATAGAATAGAATAGAATAGTTGGAAGGGACCTTGGAGGTCTTCTAGTCCAACCCCCTGCCTAGGCAGGAAACTCTATACCACTTCAGACAAATGGTTATCCAATCTCGTCTTAAAAACTTCCAGTGTTGGAGTATTTACAACTTCTGGAGGCAAGTTGTTCTACTGATTCATTGTTCTAACTGTCAGGAAATTTCTCCTTAGTTCTAAGTTGCTTCTCTCCTTGATTAGTTTCCACCCATTGCTTCTTGTTCTACCTTCAGGTGCTTTGGAGAATAGCTTAACTCCCTCTTCTTTGTGGCAGCCCCTGAGATATTGGAACACTGCTATCATGTCACCCTTAATCCTTCTTTTCATCAGACTAGACATACCCAGTTCCTGCAATCGTTCTTCATATGTCTTAGCCTCCAGTCCCCTAATCATCTTTGTTGTTCTTCTCTACACTCTTTCTAGAGTCTCCACATCTTTTTTACATCGTAGCAGCCAAAACTGGATGCAGGATTCCAAATATGGTCTTACCAAGGCATTATAAAGTGGTATTAACATTTCATGTGATCTTGATTCTATCCCTCTGTTTATGCAGAACATTTTGACCCTTGCTCCCTGCACACTGTGCATCCCAATTCCTAGCCATGACACCTACGATGCCTATGGTTAGAAAGCAGCTATTCAATTCTAAAGACAAGATATGGTTGGATCAACCACTCATCCTCCAACCCACCCTTGTTTTACCTATAGAAAAAAAAAAGATACAGACCTGAGGGATTTTGTAGGGACCTACTAATGTTGACATCTGGATGGAGATATCCCTCTTAGCTCCATCAATAAGAGCCAAAAGGTTGTCCTTCTTTCCACAGCTATAGTTGGGAACGTTGGTTTCTCCAGTAGAGAGTATGTCCAGCAAGGCATCTGAAGTCGCAAGTGTGTTCCGATAATTGTCATGGATGCTATAACCAAGTGTGAGATTTCGTAGGAGCAGGTAACTTTTGTTGATCACTTGAATATTGAAAATGTAGCGTAGTATTCTTTCCTTATCAAAAGGTAAACTAATGTAAAAAAGATATGTTATAAGCATCAGCAACAGGAATAAAAAAGAATATTTTTCAATGTAATTATTTTTGTTTCTACAAGCCTTCTAAATCTTAAACCAAAACCAGATGCAAATGCTAGTGATCCATCACCATTTTATTTTAATGAGTTATTAGGAAGATGGGATAGATATAGATTTCCACTAAGGTTAGGAATCACAAAGGCACCATTATTTAATAGTACTAATTTTCATCAGCCCAGTAACCAGGATTCAATTATTAAAGTAGAACCATCATAAAAAGAGGTTGTTTCATAAATGACCCAGAAAAGCAATTCGAAAATCAAGTCATTCTCTCTTCTTATAAGAATCAGGCATTGAATATGAATGAGTGGTTAGAAAACTATGGAAATGGGCTGGGCAGAAGCAACTACAACCCATTCAGTAACTACTGTAAACCAAAATTTATATTGAAGTGATAACTCAGAACTGAACCTGGAATGGTACATAAGTTAGACTTTTTCAGTTTTTTTTCCTACCTTTAGTTTTTTTTCCTACAAAATAGGACCAAAAAACAAAAAAAGGAAGTCTTGGAAAATCAAAATGATTGAAGAAATTAGTCAGCTCCTACAATATAGGAGTAAGTGGAATAAGAAGAAAAGAATGTTAGAACTGCAGATGGAGGGAATGCAGCTCCATCACACTGAAAGACTTACAAGTGAGATTGACTAGAAGGAGCCACGTTGAAACTCGACATTATGCGTGATATTTGTGATGCACTGATGACTATTCCAATGAGATGGTCTCCTGGCCTGTAATAGCTCCATGGTTTTTTCCTATCCTGCTCCTCCAAATTCAACGAGCATCTCATTCTAAGCTTCCCAGAGACTGGCTGGTACACCAGTAGCATCAAGAGCAGAAGCAAAAGACCCATATTACAGCTGAATCAATCCTCTTTGTGTTTTCTTTTAAAGAGTTAGAATTCAGAGTCAAAATGCCAGTGGATGTCCTGATTCAGACAAAGTCAAACCAAGCTTCACCTGGAAAGGAGAGAAAGGTACATTCAAGATCAGACCTGTCTGTCCTAAATCTTCTGCAAAACACTCAGCATGAGAAGAGACATTTATCCTTTTCTGATTCAAGCTCCTTTCCATGCTGGTTCAATCTGATGTTTACACCAAAGGCAGTCACTAGAGAAAGAAGTCTGCTCAGGATGATAATAATTACTGTGAGAATCAGCTTCTCTCCTGTGGATCCAGAACTTCCTCTGGTCTCCCTGTGCAGAGGGGCCACTGGAGAATACTACAGTATGTTTGTGAAAAATCCCAGAAATCCCAAAAATCGCACTACTTTGGGAGAACCGGTTGTTAATTTTCTGAGCAGTTTGGTGAACTGGTTGTTGAAAGAAATCATTCGGGCAGAGAACTGATTGTTAAATTATTTGAATCCCACCACTGGCTCCGCCCCTGTAGGCACAATCTTGTAGTGGTTATAGTTCCTGATTGTCAAGACATGTCCAGAAACCAATCCTGGATGAAGATAGTTCAGTTATATGCCGCCCTTCTTCGAAGACTCAGGGCGGCTTACAATGCATTTAAGCAATAGCCTTCATACTTTTGTATATTTTATACAAAATCAGCTTATTGCCCCCACAAACTGGGTCCTCAATTTACCTACCTTGACTTCTGCTGTCCTTCAGAATGGTGCCTTGTCTCCAAAGGCTGCTGGGAAAGTTCACTCAAGCTAGGGAGTTTACTGCCACTCTTGGTTGAAGAGACGTAACACCTTTAGAAGATACTGTTTTGTAAATAGAGAGAATGTTATATGGTGGATAGAAGTTTTCATTTTTCTTTCCATGACTCTCGCCTTTGAGGGAAGAGCTGGAGGATATATAGTACCATCCTGACCAGCAGTGGGTTTCACATATTCTTACCACCAATTGGCCATGTATGCACACACTCGCTTCATGCACCCATCTTCTGCACATGTGCCTGGCCTTCCGCAAATATGCTTTGCTCACGCACACACCTTCCGTGCATGCTCCTAGCCTAAACATGGCTAAATAGGACAGCATTATGCCAGGGTGGGTGGGGTGGGTGCCCATCCACAGTCACCACTACCGGCTGAACCAGTTGAACTGGTCCGAACCAGCTGAATACCACCTTTGATCCTGACAGTGATGGGCAGACAGTGGGCCATATAGGGGACGTCTTGTGAACAACTTGAAAATTGTCCTACTGTACAGTCCTTGGTTTCTACTCTTAGTGCCTGGCTAACTGATCCTTGGTGGCTGTGGTTTCCAGTTGTTGCTTTTGAATGCCAGGTTGATGCATAACATGGCTGCTGTCCTCCAGGATGTTGTCGGCCATGACTCACTGAAGCCTGGTTGTGCCCGATGGGATGGAAGCCCATTTTCATTAAGAAACGTGCCTACCCTGGTTTGTGGGGTTGCCCCAGAGGAGAGGAGGGGTGGCTGTTGTTATCTATGGTTTGTTTCAGCTCTCTGGAGGCTTCACCTAGACCATGGGTATCAAACTCAAAGCCCAGGAGGGCAGATCCAGCCCACAGGGTGATTAGATCTGGCCTGCAGGGCCACCGTGGAAACAGCAAAAGACTGGCCTGCGGTGCCTCAACAGCGAAAATGGCAGAGGCAGGAGGCCATCACAGCCAAAAATGGAGCTCATGAGGGCCACGGGCAGCCCTCCCAAGCTCTGTTTTCACTGGCAGGAAGCCGTTGCGGCCAAAAACAGATTTTGGGAGCCCGTTTTCACTGGCAGAGCATTCGGGCCACCACAGATGCCCCTGACATGAGTGACATGGATCTGGCCACTCCCACCCTGGCCATGCCCACCCCTGGTCAACACAACCCTGATGCAGCCCTCAATGAAATTGAGTTTGACATCCCTGACCTAGACCTTTTTTTTTTTTTTAAATCAGGATGGATGTGAGAATATTTCCCTGGCCTGGTGAAGTATGTTGTGTGAACATGGTTCTTGCAGGAAGAAAAGTGACCCCAGTTAACTTCAGTTATAAACCAGTGTTCAGCTTGTCTCCACTGAATTAAAGTACTTCCGGATTTCCATAATTCACTGATCCAATTGGTTCAACCTCAGGGGGGGAAAAACACCATTAAAGTATGCAAGTACCATATTTTTCAGAGTATAAGACACACCTTTTTCCCCCCTGAAAGGGGTTGAAAATTTAGGTGCGTCTTATACACCAAATGTAGCCCTGCCCACCCACTGGCCCCCACCCTTTGGCCTCTGCCTCCCAGCAGCCTAATTAGCACAAGTTGATTGAATCGGCCTCCCAACTCTCAGCTGTTTTGCTCTCAGCTGTTTTGTGCAGGCCTCTGCTGCTTGCTGCAAGGAGGTAAATTGCTGGAGCAGATTTTTTTTCCCCTTGTGCTAATCAAGCTATGCTGAAAACAAAAATGGAAGTAAAGCAGGCTGTTTGCTGCAATGAGGCAAAATTGCTGGGAGGAAGAGGCCGAGGCAGATTTCTTGCTTTCCCCACCAAAAAAGGTAGGTGCGTCTTATAGTCCGGTGCATCTTATACTCCCAAAAATACGGTATGTATGCAACCGTTTGTGAAGTGAAAGTGGTCAAGACACCAGGCTAGAAACAGGGAGACCATCAGTTCCAAGTCCTACCTTGGATGCCTAGCCATCTGGGTTACCCTGGGCCAGACATTCTCTCACAGTTCTAAGAAAGAGGCAATGCCAAACCACTTCCAAAAAACCTCGCCAAGATTTCGAGATCAGTTCCATTTTGTGGCCTTTCTGACAACCTTCACACGCAAACTGGATAAGGCTGTGTGTCTTTCTGCATCTGGCATTGTTCTTGCAAGGCCAGCCAAGTGACCTCCAACTTGATAGCCTGAGGCAGATTTTGGAAGCTGGTTGTACCATGCAGAGATGGCAGGAAACCACCTGGACCACAGTGATCTTGGCCAGGAGGATGAATTTCAAGTCAACATAAAGGTGGCATGAGAGGTGATATAGCAAAGGTCTTAGAGGGCTAGGAGCCCCTGCAGGGGGAGCGGCTTCAGAAGGTCTGTGTCCAGGGGTGAAATCCAGCAGGTTCTGACAGGTTCCGGAGAACCGGTAGCGAAAATTTTGAGTAGTTCGGAGAACTGGCAAATACCACCTCTGGCTGGCCCCAGAGTGGGGTGGGAATGGGGATTTTGCAATATCCTTCCCCCAGGAATGGGGAGGGAATGGGGATTTTGCAGTATCCTTTCCCTGCCACACCCACCAAGCCACGCCCACAGAACTGGTAGGGAAAATTTTTGAATTTCACCCCTGCTCAGGAGGCAGAGAATAGATTGGGGAGTGGGGGCAGTCAGAGTTGATATTTACCAGTTCTCCAAACTACTCAAAATTTCTGCTACCTGTTCTCCAGAACTGGTCAGAACCTACTGAATACCACCACCCCTGACTGGCTCCATTGAATTTTTCATGAAAAGCAAAAAGAACATTGATTTCTGACAGAGGTGAAATCCAGCAGGTTCTGACAGGTTCTGGAGAACCAGTAGTGGAAATTTTGAGTAGTTCAGAGAACCGGCATGTCAGATGTAAATGCCTTATTCCCTAATGTGTAAATAATGTATATATGGGATATCAGGGGTTAACTTATTCTTTGACTCTTAATGTATTCATAATTCACCACTCCCACTCTTGGCTCCACCCTTTGTATATATAAGGAGCCACCTTCACCATTTTTCTTTGCTTCTATCTGTGAATATTCAGTGAATATAGAATGCCTATTATAATTAAAGAGAAATATATTTAAACCTCTAACTCTTATTATTATTATTGAGTCTGATCCTGAAAATATTGCAACAAATTGGTAGCAGAGGATGGTTAATTGACTCAATAAATACCTAAAAATGTCTAAGAAAGATAGGCCCAACACCAGGGCCTACAGCAAAGAAATAGAAACTGAACAAGAAATAATCAACGAATCCACAAACGCGATTTCGAGAGAATCCGGAGAATACACCACTGAAGAAGAAGAATTAATAAATGAAAATGATGGCCAGGAGGAAATCGAAATAGAAAATAACGAACTCAGGTCAGAGATATTGAAGTTATTAAAAAGCCAGAAGAATGATGAAAGCCTCATCGCGAACCTCCAAGAAATGCTGAAGAACAGCGGAGCAGCGAGAGAGAAAAACATCGCTAAAGAGAAACCCAAAGACCAAAAAACTGTGAGTGATATGACTACAGAGAAAGTCGTTATGAAAAAGAAAAAATGTGATCCCACGCGAAATTTTGAATGGCAGCCATCTTGGTTTCAACAAACCTCCAAAGTGAGCGAAGCAGAGCCAATCAAAATGCTCAGTTCAAAATTTCTGGCGCGAAAAACGTTATCAGACAACGAAAGTGAAAAGGAGGATTCAAACTCTTCGGAAGAGCCAGAATCAGAAAGTGAAGACGACTTAACGAAATCCCAAGTAAAGTCAGCAATGAAGACGCTTTTTGCTGCATTTGGGCCAAAATTAAAAATTTCCAAAGCGCCAACGAAGAAGCAAGCGAACAAGCCGATACTTCAAGACCTGCACGCTCCCATCCTGACTTCGAGAGCGACGACGCCTGAGCCCAGAGAGCCATGTCGATTCCGCCCTACACCGCAGACCGAAGCAAGTGCCAACGCACCCAAAAGAAAGAGAAGAACAGTCGCCGCCATCAGAACTCCTAAGACCGAGCCAGAGACCGACTCGTCTGAAGAGGAGCGGAGCGAGCGAGCTACAATGGAGAGAACCTTCCACGACGACGCCAAAGAAGAAATGAACAACGCGCATGTGCGAAACTACGTAGACGGTCCGGAAAGACTTGAACTGGCCAGAGAACCGCGCAGACTCGTTGCGAGCATCCCCATGCCGTTTTGCAATTTCCTACACTTGCGAGACCACGGACTACCTCAGGTTGTAAGTAATGGACAAAATAATGTGGGAAACTTACCCAGTGACTTCCCAAAACTTAGGGTTGATGGCATTAATTTGCAAGAATGGTATCAACAGCTCCAGGTTGTCTTTATGAAAGAAAATTTACTATTTTTTATCACTAGTCCCCCAAGAAGACCTTGGACTTTAAAAATAGATTGTTTACACCATAAGGCATTTTTCTTAATAATATCTAGCGTGTCTCCTGCAATGTATCATAGCATCAAACCAAATCTAACTGTTTCAGAAATAATTCAATGCATGTTTAATTTGTTTCACAGCGATAGTGTAGCTACCACCACAAGAATGTCTAAGGACTTCTTTTCTTCCAGAGTAAAACCAGGGGTTTCCATAAGTGAGCATTTAATATCTTTAAACAAAATAAGAGCTGAGCTGCATTTGAGGGGGGAAGTGATTTCAGATCAAACAATGAAAAGTGTTATTATCAACTCACTTGATTCATCATGGGATAGTTTTATGTCACACTTAGACACCATCAATCTAGGATATTTATCAATAGAAAGTCTGTCTAACAAATTAATAGCAGAAGACAATTCAAGAAAAAATCGTTATAGCAATCACACAGAACACAAATCTTTTAGGAAGGTAGCTTTCCAAGAAAAATATAATGAAACTTTTAAATGCCACAATTGTGGGTCCAGGGAACACAATAGAAGAGATTGTCCCAAAATTTCAAAGGAAAGACATAGGTCAGAATATAGGAATAAATACAATTATAGACAGTCTTCCACAGATAGACATAAATATAGAAGCCCACCAAATTACAGAGAAAGTAGAGGGGGCAGAGAAAATTCAAAAGAGAGAAAATCTGGTTCACTGAATGGACTAAATAAACAAGACAGCACTAAAACGCAACAAAATGAGAACAATAATTGGCTTATTGATTCTGGGGCAACTAATCACACCACTAATAACAAAAATATACTGTCTTCATTTACAGAAGATAAGTTTGTAATAAAGGTAGCTAATCAAGAAAAAGTTCAAGTATTAGGCAGAGGGAATGTGACCTTGCCTGGTCTAGGAAAAATAGAGGGGGTATTGTTAATACCAGAAATACCTCATAACATACTAAGTGCCATAAAACTAAGCAGAGATTCTGACATCAATATAGTTTTCTCAAAGGGAAAAGCAACTTTAGAGAAGAATAAAACAAATGTAGGCACTGTGATGATTAAAGGAGGCCTACCCTATCTAATAACAAAAGAAAGATGGTTACATAACATTGATTCAAATATGGAAGATTGTATTGAGGCAGATGATGAAAATATTAGTAACAGTGACAATGATGAATGTAAAATATCTCATGATCACACAGATACACACAATGAGAAGAAACCAAAAATAGGTAAACCAATTCATGATGAGTGTGCTCACATCTTACATAGGAAGTTAGGACATGCAA